GGAGGGAGGGATGGGAATGGGGTTGGCGGCGGGGTGGGGAGGTGCGGGGCTGGTGACAGGCAGTGGCTTCTCTTTAATTCAGTGTCTGTTCTGTGGTTTGCTGCCCATCCTGTTGTTGCTCTCTTCCCACCATCTTCCTGCTCTTCCTCCTCTTCCCCTTGTACCCAGACCTCCCTGTGGGCCTTCTCTGCCTCCTCTCCAAGGAGGTAGTTTGCATTTCTTAAGGAACTGTATCTCCTTAACAGCAGTAACTGCAGACATTTCTCCAATGCCCCTTTCTAATCCTGATGCTTTCTCTCTGTCTTCCAGCACTTGCTAAGAGTCCAGGGCAGCCAAGTCCGAGCTGAAATAGATTTTCATCACGGAGGCTTCTTAGCGTTGAAGGAAGCGCCTTTCTAGTCGTAACTGGCGGGCAGTGGCGTTCATTGCCCAGACCCTGGGTTTCACTGTCGTGGTCTGAATAGGGCGCTGCCAACTCCGCTGTTTCTCCGCTCGACTTTTCTGTTCTTCCCCCTCCTCTCCTTTTGGATTCTTTACATTTCGTCTTGATTTTTGTTTTTATTCCCCCTTCAGTAGTTTGGGAGTGAAGGGGTTTTGTTGGTTTGTTTTTGTATGCAGGTCCTGGAGCTTGAACTCAGCATCTGGGTGCTGTCCCTGAGCTTTTGTGCTCAAGGCTAGTGGAGCCATGGCTCCACCCCTGGCTTTGCGGTGGTTAATTGGAGAAGAGATTCTCACGGGCTTTGCCGCCTGGCTTTGAACTGCGATCCTCAGATCCTGGCCTCCCGAGTAGTTGGGAAGGCAGGCTGCAAGTTGACTTTTATACTCAGTTCTCTGAGTGATTACCCCGATACTTGATCGTATATATTTAACTTACTGAAGTTTAATGTTTGTGTCTTGTGAATTCCTCCTGAATAATGAAAGGATTTAGGAAGAGTTGCTTCCCTCTTAAGTGCTAGGCTATTATAGTGATGTATTTTAGTTTCCCCTAAAATAAAACTTCCACAGGTTAGTTATTATTGTACTGGATACCATTTGCATGTATGTTTTAGACCAATAGACACTCACCACCATTGTGGTTAGTGGACACTCAAATATGGCTGGGGCCGGGGCTGGAGGCTCACGCCAGTCATCCTAGCTACACAGGAGGCTGCAGTTTGGAGGATCACAGTTCAAAGCCAGCCAGGACAGAAAATTCTGGGGGACTCCATCTTTAAATAGTCAGCAAAGTGCCAGAACCTAGGTGTGTGACTCAAGCGGTAGAATGTCAGCCCTGAGCAAGCAAGCGGAGTGTAAGCACTAGACCGAGTTCTAACCCTGTGACTGGTGAGTGTGTGTGTGTGTGTGTGTGTGTGATCGCTCTGTTACCGTAATCTGACATATCTGTTTACTATTTAAATGCTCTGTGATTTAGGTAAGGGATGGAAATTTGGAAAAACAGCCTTCCAGGCTGGAAGTGCCTGGCTGGCTGTGTGTCTGTCTGTGTTAAGCCCTTGTTCCCTGCACAGGTACTGACAATTCTCCCTCAGTAGGTGTTGGCAGGGACAGACCTCTGGGGTGTGGGCTCTACTATATTCTGTCAGATATGGAGATCTGAAAACTTGGTCCCGTCCTGCCACTGGCCAGAGCAGCCTTTCCCCAGACCTCCTGTGGGTCCCCCACCGGTGAATGCCCGGAGCTGAGCTCAGCCCAGACCCTCTGTCCTCTGTGCTTTGCTTTTCTTTTCCATTTTTGTCGGTCATAGGGCTTGAACTCTGGGCCTGGACATTGTCCCTCAGCTCTTCAGCTCAAGGAGAGTGCTCTACCACTTGAGCCACAGAGCTACTTCTGGTTTTCTGGTGGTCCATTGGAGATAAGAGTCTCATGGACCATCCTGCCTGGGCTGGCTTTGAACTGCGATCCTCAGATCTCAGCCTGCTGAGTTGCTGGGATGGCAGGCGTGAGCCCCGGGCCCAGCTCTCTGTGCTTTTCTTTACACGCCTGTGATAAAGTTTCACTGTGGCCACAGCAAGAGGCGGAGGGCTAGCACGGGCCCAGAGCCCAGTCCTGCGTGGACAAGCTCTCAGTCTGCCCCTCCCGCCTCTCCAGGGAGGGTGTATTTGAACTCCAGGCCTCCTTGGTTGATCCCAGGTTTCAGAACAAAGAGTTTTACTGCGCTGGTCCTGAGAAAACCCAGAACCATTATACGGAAATGGTCACAACTTCTGTTTAAGGACAGAAGGTGTTAAGGCAGTCAGGGGGCGGGGAGGAAGCTGGGGACAATTGTGCCATTTGTGAAGGCAGCGGACAAGGCCCAGTGCTGCCGCCAGAGAACTCATCCCCGGCCCTTCCCAGGCAGCCGTCTTGCTAGCTGTAGAACTCTCCAGAAACCACGGTGCAGGCGGGAAAGGCTGCCGGGAGGGCTTGAACTCAGAACTTGGGCGCTGTCCTGGAGCTAGTGAGCTACCAGTGGAGCCACAGCTCCACTTCCAGCTTGTGTGTGTGTGTATGGTGGGGGGGGGGGAGCAGTTAATTGGAGATAAGATTCTCGGGGACTCTTCTGCCCAGGCTGGCTTCGAATTTCGATCCTCAGAGCTCAGCCTCCTCTGGGATGACAGGTATGAGCCGCCTGTGCCCAGCTACTACTTCATGTTCAGTTACTCCTTCAGGAATCATGGAAACTTCCTAGGTTCATTGGAAGAGCATCGGGAGGCTGGGGCGGTAGGAGATGCGGGCAGAAACAAACTTCTTCTGGGCACCGAACTTTCAAGCCCACTGGTCCCTAGAGAAAGTGCTAGAAGGAGTCTGACGCAATGTGTTTGTCTTTCAAGTGGCTGTCATCATCGGTGTTTGCATCTAGATGTCTTGGAATCATGGCAGAGAGAGGGAGGGAGTCAGAGGTGCAGGCGGGGGTATGCGTGCACACCCACATGTGTGCACACGTGTGTGCATGTGTGTGTGTGCACACATGTGTGCACGCCTTTTATCCTTAGCAACTTCCAGTTGTATTGGAGAATGGAAGCCGCATGTCACATTTCCACGCTGATGGAGAGGTTTACGTAACGGCAGGATTATATACGCATTGGCTCTGTGCCCGGGCAACACAGCCTGCGTCTCATCGGGGTGGAGGGACGGACGCACCGTCGGCCCCCCCTCCTCACAGACTCTCCTGACACACAGCCGCCCGGCCCTCCACCAGCCCCACGCGGGCGGGAGTTTCTCTGGCTGCCTTTGACCTTGACAGCCGACCCCGGCCCGGACAGGCGTGCTACGTTTATCCAGATGCCGGCCGCAGCTGGACTGCGGGCCCCGGCATGGCCCACTGGAGCAGGGTGTGGGGGGGCTGCTGAGGCTCCTGGGGGTCAGGCCTCCACCAGGGCCCCGTCTGTAACTTGCTCCCCGGCGGCGTCCGCAGGTTTCTGGATCATCTCCGTTTTCTGGGCCACAGCAAGTGCTGAAGGCCTGGAAGGTTTCAACTTCAAGGCCTCACTTCAGGCCTCCAGGGGAAGGGGGCTGCGCTCCTCCACGTGCCTCTCTGGGAGGGCCCCGCTCCGCCCCTCAGCACCGACTCCCACCCGTCAGAGAGCTCCAGGCCACTCTCCCTGGACTCCTCCACTCTCAGTGTGTGCACGGACAGGTGCTTGGCCACCAGCGGTGGGAACGGTGGCCGTCCCTCCTGGCCACACAGCAGTGGTGGAGTGGGGCCATGTCCCCTCAGTGGATCCCCCCCCCGGCTTTGAACCCCACCGCAGGGAGCTGCAGGGAGCTGTTCTGGGGAGGTGCTGTCACGGAGCCAGCCCGGGCTCGTCTAAGCGCAGGGGAGGCTCTCATAGATCTGTACACAGCCGGCCGCCTCCGGGATCTCTGCTTTAGGACTCAGAACTGCCCCCCAAACCCAACCCTGGAGTTATTAGATGACTACAGAAACAGAAATGTGCATGTTGGTGTTGAAAATGCCAGCGGGCAGGTCAGGTGACCCCCGTGGCTCACGCCAGTAATCCCCATGACTCAGGAGGCTGGGATCTGAGCAGAAAAGTCCGTAAGACTCTTCCCTTCAATGAACGAGCAAAAAGCTAGACGTAGAGGTGTGGCTTAAGTGGTAGAGCACCGGCCTTGAGCCCAGGGACCTTGAGTTCAAGTGCCAGTACTGAGCACATGTGTGTGCATGCAGACACACTTCTGTACACACACACACACACAGCCAAAGAGGAGGTGGTGGTGGTGGTCATTCATTTATGGAGGAAGGGCTGCTCATTCAGCTAAAAACATTACTGGAGACCTTCCATCCTTGTGGATGGACAAGTGCCGGAGAAAGGGGGCAGGAGGGAGAGGTCAGATGGGGAGGGCGGGCTGGGTGGGGCTGGGGGTCACCCAGGGGGCAGGGGTGGGGGACGGGCAGCAGGCTTCATCGGGGGAAGGCCCTACCCACGGTGGGCGGCCACGTGATCGGTGACACGAGGGCTCTGCGGAGGGCAGGGAGCGCTCTTCCCTGTGCTCCACACGGGGTGGCCCAGATTCACTGTGGACGTGTCACGGTTGTCTGGAGACCCTGGGGCTGGCAGGACTCAGGGCCCTGATGGTTTGTGGAGGAAGAGGTTTCCAGGCCCGGGGGAGGGAGTCCCTGCAGCGCCACTGGCCGACCCCCCG